AATAGTGTAAGTGCCTTAAACAAAATATCTTCTTAAAATATACTCAACCTGAGCCCGCCCGCATTGCAGGCAAAACCAGCGTATCGCTCTAGAGAGACGGGGTATTCACTCGCAATTTTCAAACCTCGCTAAGCGCGACTCATAGTGACGTATATGGAAGTGTTATGAATTGAATTTCCTTTTCACTTTCTCGCGTACTTCTAAAGAAGCGTGTCCACTGGAGAGTATTAAAGAGCAATGGTGCGATCTACTTGAATATAAAATATAATCACACAACAGGGGTCTGAGAGTAATTGCTTACACGTTCGTCTGTAAAATAGCGCCAACTATTTGTACATTTTTTTCCAAAATGAATTATTCCCAGGCTATCTGGCCTGACTCGAAGCTCTGAGACTTCGAAAAACATTCTTTAAATTATGAGGGCACCATACACGGAGCCCGTGGGATATTTTGAAAACTTTCTTAAAAAGGAAACAATTTCAATTTCGTGAAATACGTACAAGGAAAATTCGTAGAGTGAAGTACGTACAAGAGTCTGCGATATTCCGTGGCATTATTTTACTGCAATTGCGAATTCATTTTCTTGTGTAATATTCACTAGTGCATCATTTCCCTACTTTTTCAGAACTGCCGGTGTACCACAGAGCAAAAGCCCTCGTGTAGATCAGACGCGCGATCTTCTCATTAATATATATTATTGAAATTCACGGATTTTTTCCGATTTATATCTTTCTCATATGTCCACTATTTGGTAGCGGCCATGGCGTGGAAACAACCCCCAAAAGTGGTGTTTGTTGCAAAAGTGTGTGGAGGCGCCTTACGACGTTAACTTAAAAGCTTGCACACTTCTGTCCTTATGCTTAAGGAAGACATAAGAAATGAACCTATCAAAGTACAGTAACTCAAAATCGAGAATCGAAATAGATACGTACGTAAGTACGGCAAGAACAGCGATTTTCCAAAAGAGAAACTCGCATTGCGCTACCCTGATATTGAAACAGTTTGTAAAACTTGTCTATATGAAGAAATAATTTACTTCCTCCAACATTGCGTGGTGAGAATCCAGGCCATTGGTTCGAGAAAAATTGGCTGACGTCTGAGGCAAAACTAGTGCCCAAACAGTCCAGACGATTTCTTCCAGATTGATATTCCCTCTATTGATCTGGCTGAACCAAGGGCCCAGCGAATTTGAAACTGATATCTTGTTTTCCTGATTCGTTTTTACAGTTCACAAAAACGGCTCCAATATTTGTTCTTACATTTTTGCTTTGGATAGAGCAAAGGACACCTTAAAGATGGGTCATTTTCTTTACTCTGCATTTTCGAAAATTGCAAGTGTGAGCATCATCCTACATCCACAATATTGAAAAGAGATTTTCTTCGGGACGTAGGTCAAGTACATTTTTTCGAAAATTGGTTTTCGCACAATTTGGCTTCCGAACATACGCAATCTAACAATTATTTTACCAAAAACTATTCCAAATTTGTTCCTCAAAATAGAGCCAAGTACGCTTATTCTTGATAATGTAACAGGTCACATTTCCGGTGATTTTTTTCAAAATTTGAACAAGTAGTACAATATTGAAGAAAGATTTTTTCCTGAAGGGAATGTTCTATAAAAGAAACTAAACCTTTCAATTTCAGGGTCAAAACCGAGAATTTTCGCTTAACTTTTGGTCTAAGTTAAGGCAATTTAAATTTTTTGTCTCAATTTTGTTTCCATCGGAAGAGCATTGAACACTTAAAAATGGCTCCGGTCTCATTTTCTTTAAACTCTGAAGTTTTCGAAACCGCTTTTACAAATAATGCAAGTATCACTAGTTTTCAAAAATCTGTGATATAGTTGTTTGTATAAGGGATAGCTAATCAATGATTTTGTTAATCATTAGGATGTTTTACTTTCCAATAAAAAAGTGGATAAATCTTGTCCCTAAATATAATAGTAGTTTATGCAATTAGTTTATAATGCTAAACTTTAATGCACTATCCATGTTTTGAAAACGAGCGACTTAAGGAGCGAGTTTTCAAATTTGTACGAATGTAATAAAACATTATAAACAAGTTGCATACTATACTTTTTTGTATAACAGCATTGCCCCTACCGACTGCGCTGAAACAATGAGATGCCGAGAAAAATTAGCAGAACTCATTTTGACAGGATGGATTGTCTTCTTGCAATGGGTGCCCAGCCATGTGGCAATCCTTGGGAATGAAAAAGCAAGACTCCAAAGCTAAGCTAGGGGCACAGCTCGATCAACCTACCGTGCCAATCACCTTGAACCGAGTCAAACACCAGATCGATACCACAATCAGCAACTTCACAACAATGACCCTAAAGACCTTAAGCATCTCCTTGCAGTCCGCTCCCCTTCTCTCCCGTCCAGCCGACAGAAGATGTCGCCCGATTTCGTCTCAACACTGGCCACGACTACTTGCAAGTTCACCTGCACCGCATCGGCCTTGCTGATGATATCTGTCCGCTGTACAACCTCGGGAGAATGGTTGAAGACCACCTGAGGGATTGTACAGCACTCACCCGAACGAAGACATTATCAATCGCTACTGGGAGGCTCGGCGACGAATGGCTGGACAACCACGGTCGGGCATTGGCTACAGTAAAATAAGTAAAGTGTATAACAGCATTATACATTTATAAGAGAATCAAAATTAATTTTGCGAAAACATCTTCCCCGTGACGACTCGGGTATTTGAGATCATGCGAGTAAACGGTGGTCGGCTGCTTTACCTCCCCCCAATTCTCTCGCTACGATTGCCTGAATGTGTGATGACGCAATCATTCGTGACATAAAATCTAATACGTCATCAGTTGTGCCGTAAAATGCCCGATTATGAACGATTTCTTGCAACAGAAAAGGAATATTTTATAACGCTGGAATAAAAAAAAGTAAATTACTTCTATCAAGTAGTATAGTCGGAATTAAGGATGTGAATAGATAACGAAACATTGAGGTTCAAAATACAACAAAAAAAACCAACGGTATTCTAAAGTTGGTTTAGCAACCTGTAACATTAAATTTGAGTGTTCGTGTATATCAATTCGCCGAATAAGGGTACGAGAACGGACATACCCTATGCCCACAGCATTTTTGTGGACCATACGTCAATGTGCGAAATGTTGCTATAATGGGATTTTTTCCTTTAGAAACAAAACATCGGAAAAGAACAAAGACATTGATGTAAAATAAACATCGCCGTTAATACATCAATGTTTTTTAAACATCGACAGCGATGTCGCATCCCTAGTCGGAATGTTTTGTGGGTTGATACAGAAAAATCGAAGGCAAAACGTCTGTCTATGAATAATGCTAGCAGTTAAACTGTAACCAAAATGGAAACCAGTACAAGCATCATGCATGGGAACTCCACGAACATATAAAATCACTAGAAAACGGTAAATCATGCAGGCCAGAGGGCAACGACAGATTTTATTACAATCGGTGGTGAGGCAGTGTTGCCTACTTGTTAAGAATATTTAATGTTTTTATTAATAACGCAAGTTTACCGGACGACTGGAAAACGGCTATAGAAGTTCTAATATTCAAAAGTAATAAAACGAAAGAATGTAATTATATACCAGTATCTAGATCATTAGCATGCAAAATAATGGAGCAATTAATTAATAGCCGGGTATATTCGTATGGGAAATGGGAAAAAGCAGGCGTAATCCACGAGGGAAATTGCGCCCGTTCAGAAAGTCGCACTGGAAAAAATCTAGATACAATACAGAGGGAAGCGAATCCATAGCACGCAATAAAAGTCATGGTTAACTCTAGAAACGAATAGAACAAAGGCGAGGCTTTGTGCACGTTATAAATCGTACGTAGGTCGACCAGCTCGCAAGGAAATTCATATCAGACTGAAAAAAAAAAAGATAAGGAGGCGATGCGATCACTCTCAAATGTTTACAAAACAAATTTCAGTTCTTGGGAAATTTTAATTTTGTAACAGTTTACCAGCAAGCAACTTTTAAAGCCTTTCCTCCAAGTGTCTTAAGTTTTAGAAATAAGTTAAAATAAGCTGAGTAATGGATGTTACATGAATAAGTGCTGGTCAGTGTAACTCAAAGCAAAACTTGTGTAGTGTATGTGATCAATGCTTTAAAAAAAAATAATTAGCCAATATCTATGTAGCTTGTATTGATTTTTAGTATCACCAACATATCATTGTAGTATATCATGATAAGAGTTGAAATAATGTTATTCCCCAATCTACCTGGCAGATGTAGTGTTCCCTTGAATTTAAGATATTTTAATTTGGGGTGGGTGGGTGAACTTTACGTGAAGCTCCTACATTCAAACTTATAATTTAGTGGCAACAAATTATTTGATTAAAATTTGGTCCAATATTACCGTAAAAGGGAATGCTTAGGAGAATGGTGCGGGTCTCATTTTCACTTAAGTGCCTCATTTTTCAAAAATTGCCAAGGTTCACATTTTTTGGAAGTCTTCCTACAACTACAATATTGAAGATAGGAATTTTCCCTTCAAATGAAATTTGTTTCCTCAATTAGTTCTTTCATTAACATCACACACATTTTTTAAAAAGGTTAGTAGTTTTCATACAATTTCGAATGAAATATCGGCATTACTAAAAAATATTAAAAACAATATTTTCTCAAAAATAGCTCCAATTTTTCAAAGTGGAACAGTTTTAGTGTATGGCACATTCCCATTTGTTTAAGGTAGAGAAGGGGAAATTAGTAGGATTGATGTTGTCCACAAGCACAATCTTTTTCAAAATTGATCACTTTTGTTCCTGGATTTGTTCCACCAAGAGGACAAAAAAATGTTATGTTCAGTCAAAAATAACCACACTATTTTGCAGTTGAGTTATTAAAAAAAAAAAAAAAAATATTAATGTAGTGAACAATCTTAATGGAGATCACTTTTCACCCGTGTGATTATATGTGAATTAATTTTGATGACAATGTATTTTGAACATTTTTGTAATAACCGAGTCGAACCCACAACATCTACTTGCTATTTCCTGAGAAAAGCTCAGTGACAGTATCCAATTTTTCCCCCAATACTAGGAACATGGAGAATAAAAAAAATACTTTTAGAAACAGACACGTTACTTCATGTAATGTTGCAAAGTAAAATTAATGTCAGACCATTACACAAGATTCATAAATAAAAGAATACATTACTTGCCTAATCGCACGAACATCTATACAGAGTGCAACCTTTCTTATCGTCTAGTAACTGTACAATGCACTTAAATTACAAAAACAAAAACTTGTCAACATAATTAACTAAAATATAAAGCCATAACTTACTTTACGAATAATATACAATCATACAAAAACAACCTACACGCTATACATTTAATACATACTTGTGATTGAACTGTGGATTTTTGTTTTATCATGAATAAAATCTAACAATTGACGACAATTGACCATTTGAAATTTATAATTTGCAAAACTGGTGTATTCTGGGCCTTTGGCAGTGGTAAATTGAGACATTCGTAACAAGAAATCTCAATAACAAATATTTGCTCAACGGAAAGTTTCAAAAGATAACATTTCTACAAGAAAAATCCATTTACAATCTGAACAGTAGTCATAAAAGTTATGATTGTTAACTATAATTTCAATAAGTATGAAATGCTTTTTAGAATTCTATAACATCAAAACCAATAGTTAAATACACCAGCCACATTAAAACTATTTTACCTCATGAAAAACATTGCTTTGTATCAATCTGCTCTTTCTGATAATTTTGAATACAAAAATCTTGTAAATAAACACTTAGCACATTTTATCAATCATCTTGATGAACAAATTGTTATCATACACACACCCACTTACTTTTGTGCAACTGAGGAGGAGATAACAGGAGTTTTAGTACAATGGTATCACAGTTTCTCTTAAATTGAGGCAAATTAAAAACTACTGTTCCTATAAACAGCATAGTTTTAGCAGTTCAGCCACAAACTTTAGTCTTAAACAGAACAGAGTAACAGTTCATACAAGGTACACAACACTTCCATTCAAAAGTACACATGTACACATCCAGGATTATGTATACATATATACCATAAAAACATTATTTGTATTATGCTTAAATTATTACTGACAGCACCTAGTACATTGTATCTAGAACAAAACTATATAAAATTTATTTTTTAATATACTTTGATTTACAACAGGCTACAAAAAATCAGAGAAAATGTATTACTCTGAATCATAACCTTTGTATAAAAAGAAAAAGATGATCAAAGAATCATTTCTATAAATGAAAGGCATGACTAAATCCTCACACATTTTTAACATGCAGAAATTAAGCATGAACAATTCACATGCATATGTAATTACATGGATATTTAAGTTGATTTATGAAAGTAAAATGAAGAGAAGCATTATGTAACTCTCAAAATATTGAAAACACATTAAATACCAGAGAAAAACAGTAAAATATTCAGTTTAACAATTTAAAAGGTGATATGCTTTATCTAGACAAATTCTTGACAATAAAAGAAACGATTAGAAAGTCAAAATCTCCTCGCTCATAACTCTTTCTTTACTTCCACGAACATTAACACACAACCAGAAATTAATTCCACAAAAATCTTTCAGAAATTATCATAAATAATTGCACACACATTCAAGAAAAATTTGCAATATACTTTTGGCATTGTTTTTGTTTAAGTAATATATTCAACTCAAATATTTGAAACATTGAAAAGTTTCTTCCGTAACACAAAACTGTGCATTCCCGATCATCATTGTGAAAAATAATGAAATAATACATCAATTTTCATTTGAACACATAGGCATGTAATGGAAACATTACATTAATATATACATTTATGAAATAAAACAAAAGAAATTGGGAATGACGACAGATATATGATATTGCATACTATGTTCATTAAAATGATGCATCGCAATTCTTCTGAAGCCAGGAACTGATATGCTTTCTTTAAAACCCCTGAAGATATTATAACATTAGAAGTTTTTGAGATCCCTGATCAGCCTATTCCAATTCTTTTTGGCCTTCACATTTACGAATCACAATTAGGCCTCGAAGCATTGCTTTGTCTACTGATCACAGATCAAAGGGATCATCCCGACTTAAGTCAAGTCTAAAATAAGTAAACAAAATTAGGGCTGATTGTTTCGCACAGGAACGAAGTCACAATGTCAAAATTGTTATTCTTTCACAATACTACTACAGAAGTGCAATAACATGCTGACAACAAGTCAGCTCTGAGAGGTGGTCTATAAGGCACTTCCAAATACTTCAATTCTTAATTTTCCTACATGGTGACAACATTGGGAAGGGGGTCTAGGAGTCAGAAGTCATCTGCAATATACTTTGCAGTTATTGTTCAGAAACACAATGCAGGGGCAAAACACAGAAATACAAAATTATGAGCTATATAAACAATACGAATTTGAACTGAATTACACAATTTACCTTCAAGATAGTCAAATACACTGACTGCTTAAAATGCAGATAAACAATCACTTCCAACAAGCCTGATTAGCTAAGACTTTAAGACACTACTCAAATCTTGTCTGGAATACAACTGTACCACCACTTTAAGATTTTAGATCAGACAAGCCTTATATGTAATGATTTAATGCTTAAATCTAAACTTAAAATATGATATTCAAGATACTGGTGAGAACACATATGCTGTCAAATATTTTCTTGCAACAAAAACTACTAGCTTAAAGCAGACCTGCACACATATGTACTTAGAAAGTAATTTTCCCAAGAATTTCAAGCTTTGAAATTATGATACTTGATACCCCATACAATGTTTCTTTTATTTCTTTTAAAAAGCATTCTATTACGAGCTCCTTTACAATAATTCTATAGTTGTGCATATCAGATTTTCCTTTACACTATTAGTGATGGTGTGAGGGAACTGTTGAAGTACTTCCCCACCCTTCCCATACCGCCCTCCCGCCCACCCTGATGTCTGCTGCGGCCCGCACTATGGCTCACCCCGCCCCTCCCAGGCCTGCGGCAATCTTGCAACAGTATTTCCCCTTCGCTGCAGTTAAGTGGTTTCACCCACCCGCCCATGTCCCTGAACCCCCAACAGACGAGGGTGCATCTCGTCTCCAAACAATCTGAAAAGAGAAAGAAGCACTTTATTAACAATAGAAATGAATCTGCAGTCAAATTAGTAATTAGGCCTAGAGCTAGCACACTGGTGAATTCCATTCACCAGACTATTCTTTTGATCATTCTTGGAAAAGAAGATGCATTCCACCACACTCAGCATCTTTCTGAAGTTGAGCTAAACTTAGTTGGGACCAAAGTGACATTTCAGAAACCAAAAGAATATCACACTTTACTCACAGGAGAATCCCTCTCTCACAAAATCTGTGCAATCACAATAAAGAATACCTCTGCCACACCTGTGCACACTCTTTGTAAAACGTTTTACGTTTCTGTTGATGTCTCGCAAACATCACTGGTGGTGACACTTCGTGTGATGAACGTACACATTTCATCTTCAAGACAAGTTTCCCTAATTCTTATCACAAAAATAATCTTTAATACAATGTTTGTTAAATTTATATTTTTTATTAAAGAAGTACAAATAGGATGGCAAGTTGTAATTAAAATGAAATCACATGGGGAAATGCCAGAAGTCCCGGAAGAAGCAAGATACACATGCAAAGGTAAGAAGAGAAGAGCAGTAACTGAGTGCATGGACAGAACCTTCAGCCAATTTGCCAGCAGTAGCTGTCACATTGGTCACTTCTCAGTCTTAACTTTTCCCCAATAACATCTATTCACAGCCTGTGTTATTTTGAAAGGTTTGAAAGGTATTTTGAAAGGTTTGAAAGGTATTTTGAAACGATTCAAACTATTTTTAAAACATTTTTTTTTTATTTTAGAGAGAGAGGGAAAGAAAAAGAAAGAGAGGAGAAAATTAGCTGCAAAAAGAGGTTACATTATGAACGAAAGGAACAAATTCATCTTGATGAAGTGTAATACAGCATCACTCGCATTAGCTATTGTCTGCCGCAGCAAAGACTTCGCTTCCTTGGTAGGAGTGTTTGACGTCGGACTGACGCCTAGCCGTCCGCGAAATTTTATAGATTTCTGGGGGAAAGTGCTTCTTTGGACAAAGACGCGGGAAGTAGTACGCGCTGCGGTCTAGTAAACTGCAATCAGCAGCGAGCGAGAGACCTGCACGAGTTATCCTGAGACGCGAAAAACATTCGCACGCGGACGTAGTAAAGGGCGCCGCATGAGGACGACGAGGAGGAAGCCGGGCGTAGGTGGCGGAAGAGGACGCGAGAGAAGGCAGCAAGCAGTCGGCCGAGACGAGTCCTACAAATGGGCAGTCGGAAGCCGGGGGCGAGCGGCGACAAAGCACAGGCCAGCGCGCGCCAAGATCAGGCGTCGGAATCCAGAGGAAAAGAACATAGTAAGGTAACGGTGTGTGAGAGCGCCGCAATAAGTACGTCAAATTCACGTCGACCGGGGAGAACTGTTTAGAAGGAAAATGCGAGGGCATTAAGGACACGGGAGGCAACTGAGTTTAGTTCAAAGTACTGGCCATTTTAAAGTACTATTGCCTACAAAGAATATTGTAAATAGGTCATATTCATTTTGTTGTTCGCACCCACCGCGAAATTTGTGTAAAGAGAGTGGTGCATTTGCACACATTTTTGTATGTAACATTGTGTAAGGGAAATGATATATTGTAAATTTGTTCATGTTTAGTGTAAATAGGAATAGTAACAGATTTAGCCACGCTGAGTTACCAAGGGAATTCCCAGTGGTTATTAGGGTGATTATTTTGTGAGTAAATTTTAAGTTCATTGAAAAGGGTATCGAAATTTGGTTTTTTGAATTCGTGTGATTTTTGTAAGAGACGAAGTGGGTCGTTTAAAGTCATTAAATCCAGTTCAACTGATTTGTGCTCTTGTGCTTGGATTGGCTCAACACCCCAGAAGATCCCACTGCCCTGTCATATTCTAAGCTCGCAAGAGGCACAATATCTGCGAACCACTCCAACAAGTTATTGGAGTGGAGTGTGTGGGAGTTATTGTTGCAGTAGGGGGGGGGGATATATTAACACACACACACACACACACATGCAGACACAAACACACCCACACACTTTCAAGGAAAATTGAAACTCCCAAACCTATTCTCCTAAAAAAGAACATGAACATTGATCATTCACAGGGACATAAAATATTTTACAAGTAACAAAAACACTCTGTGCAGTATCCCAACATTGTTACAATTGATTTGAAGAAGTCAAATTGGAGCAATTTTGGAATCAATTGTCTTAAAAATAATGGTCTTCCATACCTGCATGAGAAGTTCAGACACCGTACATGGAGTACAACCTTTCCTTAAGTTGTGGGGGAAATTGATCAGAGAACTTCCTCCAGTTTTCTTCTCCCACTTGGTTTTTGAAGCCATGGAGAATCTACAAATCATATAATGTTAAAGATAAGAAACTGTTTCACTCTACAAAGCATAAGGTGTCCCCTGATGACTCTCAACCTCACTTAACACCACATTTTATTTATAGTTTTATCTGTGGATTCGCAGCTATTAATATTCTTTAGTAACTACAGGATGTCTTATCGAAGTTAGAATCTTTGCCTTTTGGGGAGGTTGGGAATGGAAATTCTGTGAAGTGCAAGAGAATAATGGCAGTTACATACTCTTTCCTTTCCAAACTAGCAAGAGTATATTATTTTTCTTAACACACAATGCTGTTTTGAAGATTTTTGAGGTGGTTTTGAATTGTGGACAAACTGTTGCAGTAAGATCACATACTTTTTAAGAAAGCTCAACATTGGTTTCCATATTTGGGGAAGGAAGTCACGGACACATTTTGTGACTGGAGTTAACAGAATCTCGTCTTGGAAGAGGAATCGGAAGTTCCAGGATATTCCAAGATTCCAGGAAGTTCCAAGATATTTCAAAACAAAACAGACTTTTGATTACTTGAGATGCTCAACATACAAACAAAAAACATTATAACTGATATAAACCTACTATTACAACAATCATATAACCACTGGAAACTATACAGCACATTTTGAATACTCAAATGAATATCGTTCAAACTAACAATGCACACTCCTAGATAAATGTTGCCTCTTGAGATTGTGTATCCAACAAAAGATGGGAAATCATTCAGTCTTAAATCAGAAACCTTTTTATATCTTGAGGTATAGTGACAAGCATGAAAGGGAATAGTATCAAAAAAGGAGATTTCTATTTTCTGTCCAAGAAAGGACAAGGTTTGATCTTTAAAGAGAAAAATTCCAAGTTTGTCTTTTTCAAGAAAAATGTGGGTGATGGAAATAGTAAAGGTCTAAAATTTTCCTAAAACTGTTATTTCGAAGTTTTAAAATATTTCAACTTTATGTTGCTTTAGTACGCCTAGGAAAAAAAGTAGCAGGCCTTTCTTTTTCGTGATAAGTTCCTCATTTCTTGCAAAAACATAACCTTTTTAATATTGTTATGATTCTACAACATTGCAAGGAAACATATTTATCAATAAAAATATTTTTATTGCCTTAGAAAACCTATGATATGAAGTGTTACAGTTCAAGAGTCCAAAGGATTCACCTTATGCCTTTATGGTGATGCAAAGTAACGAGTTTTCTAAGGTTAATATTAGGATTCTTGAAGTTTTCTCTCATACCTTGTTGAACATTTCCTTCAGGTCATCTTTAGGATTCACCCACGATGCAACAGCATCACAGAAGAATATGAATTCTTGTACTACACCTGCTGGATTCACTGTTATCATTTGGCACATTCCACGAAAAGCACTGTCTTTCTCCTCATTGTCACGGATATTGCGCAGAGATGTGCACCTAAAATACATGAAGTTGTAATTTTCTAAAATACATTATGTGCCTACAATCCCTGACAAGATTACAATTCGTTGCAGTTCATTTCGTATGTTCTCATTCAGTTTATTGTCTTCTTATTATTTGCCGTGAGTAATAATATGTATTATTATTTCTTTACTATAAACAATCCAAATCCACTATTTGTAATGTTATACTTATGTTTTTATTGTACAAAATATACAAAACTGACAAACTACTGCAACTAATGAACTACATTGACAATAAAGCCAAACTGTTATTAAAAGAAGTTGACAGGTAAAAAAAGCAATGAGCATTTTCTTTTTTTTTCTATGAAAGGAAAGATGCAGGGACCTTCATTAAGTTTCAAAATAAACTACATAAAATATATTAAATAAAATAAAGGCTTTTACTGAAAAAATGTAGCCATACCTGGCTCCACAGCATGCATGGTTTCACATCAAAGTGTTTAAATACAGTGTGATTACCTCAATCAAAGTATACTTAAATAAATAAAAACATTCAGGAAAAGCCTTTTTCGAAAGTGGAAGAGAGGTCCGTTAGAAATTTTTCTTAAAAAATGTTAATTTTGAATGTTAATGCTACCTATCACAAACTCAGTCTTTGAATCCAAATAAATTACTGTACTTTCTGGCCAATCATTTGTTGAGTGCATATGAAAATGAAATCTCTACATAGCTGAACAAGAATACCTATATAATTACACAAAATTAGTTTTTCCCCAAAGTCAACACACTAAAAATATAGTAATTACCAGACTCCTCACAATTTACCAGTGCTAAACTAAATAATACAGAAGATTGAACGGGATCATGTTTCAACTTATCTACAAAGAAGCAATGACATTTTCACTAAGAAAAATTGACCAGGATTCCATAGACTGTGTTCAGTGACAGGAAATTCAAAATAAAGTGAAAAATTACGTTAATAATAGTAATAATAATAATGATAATGATAATAATAATAAAGTAAAGGGGTTACACACCACTGGCGAACAAACTGCTGTAACAGAGGGGCGACGTCATGAGGGCACACATAACCTAGCCGGCCAATAGTTATGGCTAGAGCGAGCGGGCAAGAAAAAAACCAATCAAAAAACAGAACACAGAAAAAACAAACAATCAACAACTCAGAAACATAAATACTGTCTGTATAGATATACAGGCAAAAACATACTGCAATACGTATTATTGACATCCCTACCTAAATTCACAAAGTTAAACATAATCACATACATTAAAATAATTTTAAAATAATCCATATCTTCATGTCTGTTCCAGGACCACATAAAGACTGCCAATTTCCCAAATAAATATGATCTAAAATTGCATAAGGAATTTGAAACTTCCCTTTCCAATGAATGCAAGTGAAAATAATTCAGAATGATTAATTTAAAAATTCAAATTCCAGCTGCAAACCCTTTAAGAAAATAATCAAAATAATTGTTATTGCAAAAATTCAAACTGCTTTCTTGAACAATGCTTGCTCATATACAACTAAATACAACTGAACACAATTCAATATTCTACAAAAAAAGAGGAAAAGTACAGCCACAAAAGGTCAATCGTGTTAATGTACTGAAATAGAAAAAAACAATAACACTGAAATATATTCATTTGCAAAACATAAGAAAACAGTGTTTGCTAGCATATGCACAAAACACAAACATGTGCACACACGCTCACACTCCTGAAACATGAAAACAATGTGATAAAAAATTAACTTGGAATGAGAAACTGTAAAATAAAAACTGAAACCACCAAGAACACCAAACTTACAACTGTCACGTCACATGTCATATATTGCTCATGTTAGGAAAAAAAAAAACCAACAAACAAACAGAAAAAGGTTGGGTAGCAAATCTACACAGCTTAGCTTTTACACAACAGTGTACTACGAGACATTGTTAAAGTACATTGTTAATCATGCATCCTAATAATGCATGTTATTATCAGTTAATTTAGGACCAGCACACGTCAATATCCAGAACTGTAATTACACTACAATGAGTAACAGAATAGCTAGAAGTTGGGAATTCAGTAAAATGGCAGGAATACTACGCCTCTAAACATGTTTTAAGACTCAAAATTTTTTTTTTTAATGTAAAACAAATAATTGGCCATGCAATTTACACATATGCCCCTCATGGCTTTTATGTGAAGACAATATAAATTATACATAATTCTCAGTTGGAGCCCTCCCTTTCAATATTACAATGTTTGATATGTTTTTAAAATTGAGGGACATTTTAAAACACTTTAATATTTTTTTCTACAATTTCTATAATAGTTGTAAGAGTTCTTGCAAATCTTATCATGGGCTGTAATGTTATTAATTAAATTAGATGGAAGTGTTTTGAATGAGCATTATGATGAAGAGAACCTTATACTCACTGGCTATAAATGAATTGTAAATTAATTTCTTTTGAAGACACTAAACCAACAGGGGCAAAACAACTAATAGAATCCTAACACTTTCATCCTCCCCTGTTTTTTCATGAAGGTTTAACCAGATTACAAAACAAAATTAATCTTAATCAGTAATAAGTAATTATTATGTACTCAAAGACAAAAAACAAGAAGTCTCTGGCACTATCAGTAGAACTGCTAAATTTATGTCAAGATTTTGAATTCAATTTTCATTTATTATTATTATTATTATTATTATTATTATTATTATTATTATAATTATTATTATTACTACAAAACTTCACTTTTGAACTAATATCCTTTTTCCATCTCTGTAGTTCTCGTATAAAGAACACTATCTTCAAACCAAACAATGTTTATCATTGAAATAGAACATGCTTTTGGAATATAAAACTGTCTTCTTATTACTTCCTTACCACTTAGGTCATCTTTGAGAATTACAGACAAATCAAACATCACACAGCATACTAACAGCAATGGAGGTTATCACAAAATGCCTGGAAACAACTGATACATTCATGCAAAAACCATTACATGAAATTCAATAGAACAAGAATTCTATACAATGCAAGAATTAATTCAATCTGTAAGCATTCATACATTTAACATTTCCATAGAAATTACAAAAATAACAACAACAAAAATACAAATAATATTTCATGTTATTACATAAAATAACATCAAGCATAGACATATAACAAATCTAAATATTTGTATTTAATTAATGAATTGAAATTAAGGCCTCAATTATTTGTTACAGAGCCCAAAGAGGAAAGATTATGATAAATCAATTTTACAGGATCCATCAGGGATTGATGTATTGAAACAACAAATGAAAGTGAAACATTTTACGTTATTGCATCTACATTCATAAGTCATGTAAATATATTTAAAAGTGTCTTATTTAGTCTTTTACAAGGAAATGGACCATTGCTCTCACACATGCACACACATTCAAGTTTCCTGAGAGTGCCAACAGTTCGCTAGTAGAGAATGACAACGGTACAAATTTTAAGTTATAATAATCAAAGGAAAGGGTAAGGACCGTAATAGACAATTTCAGCATTGCTCTAAATGACAATTACACTCACCTCAAAAACAATATACTGAATGCTCACAATATAAAAGTTCGACATTCATCTAAGCGTCTTATGTAGGAGTATAATTCAAACGCCTTTCACAATAAGTTTCAAAAGAGGTAGTATTTATTGTTAAAGAGACTGAATAAGCAAGCATTTCAATAATACTTTTTATTATGTATCAAAAAATATTTTGATTTGACTGACTTAATGTGGTGCCTTCCTATTGATAGTAACATTCTGACAGATGGACTTTTGAAATATACTTCAAAATATATCCTGAATTTAATAGATGCAAAAAATTTAGAGAAAAGGAAAAATTTCTTATATTTCAGAAATCAATGATATACATGTATTGATTTATAAAAAGCAAATTATCATATAAATACAACAATAAAAAGATGCAATAAATCTTGAGAAGTTTTAGTTTGATATTTCTTGATGCTTGAAACTGTGCATTAACAAGCAATGTGGACTTATCAGAAAGCAGAAACACATCTAATTAACAAAAGTTGTTCACTATTAGCATAAAAATGATTATTCCAGTGCAATGTTCAATCATAGCTGGTGCTGTGGAACTGGCTAATATTTACTCTTCATAACCATCCAGACATATTTTAACATGGAACACAATGCCAAACTTGAAGTGTAAGAAACAAGTTTCAGTCCATTTATTTTAAAGTAATGAGAAGGAAATAACCAGAACACTCATCCAAGCCAAAATACTCACGTATTTAGACAATTTTCAGAAGTAATGTTTGTACAAATAAATAACGAATAACCAAAAATTAAGACTTTTAAAATAGTTCCATCACCCAAGCCAAGACCACTAAACAAGTTTATTCTACATTTTTCATGAATGAAGAAGTGAGTGAAAGCTTGCATCTGTCAATCCATAAAGAGGACTGTGTGGAACAAGAGAAGTATCTTTTCTGTAATATATAACAACATTCACTTTTTTTTTTTTTTTTTTTTTTTTTTTTTTTTTTTTTTTTTTTTTTTTTACACACTGCTTCTTTATGAATAATTACAGAAAATTATCTTTATCTGGCCCCCTGCACCAAATGTTGGTAATTCAGCAATATATTTACTTTCCCATATACAGATGTTTATACATAGTATAGGGAAAGATATGTAATGCAACAGAAAATAAATTTTGAGATTTCAACAGAAACAGGTTTTGGGTGTCTCCTGATTTCGAAAAAGTTGTTTTGTTTCAAAACGTCCTTCCATTTGTCAACACTACTAGTGCCTAAACCATGCAAAGAATTTTTCCTAATTTAAGAAATCCGTCAATTTGCCTAGAGTCAAAGCTTTGAGATTTCGAAAAATATTCTTTTTGGGGGTACTTTACACAAAGTCCTTGAATCATTTTCAAATTTTTTTCAAAAATGGCACCACATATTTTCTTTAAATTTCTTGTAAGAATGGAGTAAAATACACTTATAAATATGGCATAGGTCCAATTTTGACAGTTGATTCTGAATTTTTGAAAATTGGAAAAGTTTGTATTTATTTCACCATCTTCCTTCAACTACAAAAGTAAAGATATTGATAATTCCTTCACACAAAATTTGTGGTCCATTATTAGCTCATTCATGACGGTTAAAAAATTACAAAAACAAGATTTTCTCTGCTATTTTAGATTTTAGCAGCTATTAGTCCTCAATATTATATTTATGAGTACATGTGCTGTAAATAATGTTATATAATGTTTCTCAAAAACTCAACTGTTTTCTGTGACAACCAGCTCAAAATTCCATATTTTCAGAAACCCTCAAATGCAATTTTCTCAAAACTGTGCCAAATTTTGACTTCAAACTTTTCTAATGGATAGTGCTAATTGCATTCTTTAATAAGACCTAAAGTTCATTTAGAGGTTTTTTTAGTTTTTTTTCAAACATTACACAAATGTAATTTTTTTGAAATATCACTCATGCTGTTAATAGGCATATTTCTAGCAATTTGTAAACTATTGTATTGGCGAGTTAAAGTGCTTCAAGTAACTTCAGATGAAGCTTTTTGAAAACTTTTCTGTGAAAAAGAGCTTCAAATTTCGAATTTACAGTAGTGTTTAAATGCCAGTTTCAAATTTCTCAAAGAAAATTGCCAGTTAGGAAGAGGTTTTACTCTTCTTTAATATTCTTAAATAATATTTCCATTATAATGTTAGGAAACTGAAAAATAAAGAAAATTACAAAGCTTGTGATGATAGATGGCAGCTGGAAAGAGTGTGCGGCAAGTTTGTGTAGATATACATAGCCAAAACCAAAGGAAACAGAAAACTAATACGGGAAAGTCTGAGCCATTCTGTAGCAAGACTAGTTTCTTTAAATATTTTGCTTGAATTTAGTGAAGTGTGTTTATAAGGAAGGTATAAATCTTATTTTCATTCCAACCTATGAAATATCCAAAATTGAAAAAAATTATGTTTTTAATTCTAACCACATCATTAAAGAAGCTCACTCACAATTTGTGAACGTGCGCACACGCGCGTGCGTGTAGGTGAAATAAACATGAATTATGCCTACATGTTAATATCGGCCTCCAATTTGGTTTGGCATTAGAGTGACAAAAAATCGCTCGCATGAATGAACAGGCAATATACAAACATAACTAATTATATTTAATAATACAATTCAGAAGAAGTCACTGCAGGAGGAAACAATTAACGTAGTCTTCTCAATTAGGTAAACAAAAATGTTTCCTATGTCATTTATGTTACTTTTATGAAACAGTTTCTACGGGGCTATTTCTTGATGATTTCTTTCTATAACCACCAGAACATTGTGCATAGATTGTCAATGAGGTGAGATTATTTTTCTGTATTTTTGACAAAATATTCTACCTACACAAACCAAGAAAATATACAAAAGTAGTATGTAAGAAAAAGAAACAAAAGAGGGCGGGGGGGGACCCTTCAGAAATCCAAGCTTTAGAGTATACAAAGGCAACAGAATTATTTATTGCCATTATTGCAAGTGCTTTTTCCATCTACAATGAATGACTCATCCTGTACAATTATATATGCATATCACTTCATGGGTAACCAAGTCTAGTCGAATGTAACACTGTCACTACAGTTCGCACCTTAGTTAGAACCTTGGGCAAAAACACTTTTCACACTTCTCAAGCGTCTGGTGAAGTGGCTGCCTAGTTACACTGCAAAAACTCACTGTGTTTGTTTTTTTTAAATTAATTTAAATAAATGGGATGAACCCTTTTCAAAAAGAAATGATACACGCATAATGACAAAAACGTACAAGTACAAAAATTAAAATATGGTTATAACCATAAAAAATATTATAATAATGATTATTTATATATTTATTTTTTATAAACAAACAGAGATTTAAAACATGCGTATTTAACTCATATGATCATGGCATATAAACTCGTAACACATTACATGAGCTTTCGTCAATCTAATAAATGCATAATAATGAATGAAAAATGTCGACATAACATGAATTCCATAATTTATACATCATATTTAGGGGATGGCTCACAGTATAAACGCCATTGAACATAGGTAAACAAAATAAATCTCCATTTCTGGTAGTAGTCCGAGGAAATTTATACTGAATCTGATTTAACAATAATATACAATCAATATGAGAGTTGATGAGCATGTGTAAAAATATCAAATCACTATTCTTTTCGAGAGATGCAAGAGGTGGAATGTTCAAAGCAGTCTATTCATTTTTGAGTGTGACCAAGTAACGTGTTAATGCTCGCTACATCTGACTGAATAGTGTATTCTATCAGCACTTCAGCATTAGCGCATCAAAAGTAAGGATAATAGCGCAATACAATGGTGCTTCAAGCGGTGTAAAATCTCGCAATCACGCAATGCTAGATTAGCAACTTACTGCAATTTTTAAAATGCGTTTTAACATCAAAATGATCCCAAATTACAGAACGAGCAATACTCCTTGCTCAACCAGAGGCAATTCTGATTAGAAGCAGTGTATTTTGAAGGCACCAGTGTAAAATCACAGACAGAATTCAAACTTTCAAAAGACAATTTAACCTCTTTAACTATTAAAAACATTACTATGTAATCTCTTTTTATTTATAAAGGCCTTAAGAATTCAAAATACTACATTAATAAGACCATTAGTAATTTTGGGCAACTGCAGAGAAAGGAAAATTTGGTGAAATTTTGAAATCTTGTAACTTTGTTGCTATTTGCTAGAGAGAAGTAATTTATTAAGCAAATTTGTACAGAATTTTATGATCTTGAAAAATCTTTAAATAATCTAAAAAGAGTTAATTAGAATCTTAAATTATAATGAAAAGAGTTAACAATTAGGCCTACATCACATGCCAAATGCTCTGGAAGTCGCAGTAACATTGAATGAGCTGACTGAACAATTGCGGTGGATTTGAGAATCGATTTCTTTTTTGAAGTATCTTTCCTTTTACTGTCAAAGATAAGGACAAGGGGACCTGTGTTTAGTTTATTTCTGGGCTTTTGAAATGGCCTCCGAGGCACGCTACCACATTTGTCTCACCATGCAAGCACACATATGCCTCGACAAGACAAGAAAGGAGAGTGACTGAGAGGGAACCTCTATCACTCCTTTCAAAACACCCACTCATGCCCTTGGAGAGAGCTTTCAACATTTTTTGACCACTGCTGCGGTGATTAAGGGAAATAGTTTCATTGAAGACATTAACGCACCTTCCAGACTCAGATGTCAACGATTCCCTTGGAAACAAGTCTATACTGTGCAAACGTTCAACCTACACACAAGACCCAGTAAAGAGGATCTCACGGCGTGAAGGTGACATGAAGAGGGGGAGGAAAAGGTACAGAAAGGAACATGTGAGAGGCTTCTCCGCATCCTGCCCATCCACCAGGACATCAACCATCCAACTTCAAAAGAAATGCATCTGAATACGAAGATGAGAGAAAATGGAAGAAAATAGCAATAGCACGGACAAAACTTAGCTTCCTCATGAAAAATAATTGTGCAGCAAGTAATGCCATGCATTTTAATTATGATTGTAAATAATTAAAAATTAGTTTACGAAAATGAAACAATAAATTCAATAGATCTCTTAACAATTGTATTCTAAATATTGTTTATTAGCCAAGAAACACTAAACCCCAACATTTATCACAAACTAATACCTGCTCATCTGCCTATTAGTATCACCCAAAACTAAAATTTGTCATACTTTTTCTCTCTGAAGACTGTTACAACATACTACATACTAAAATACAGTAAATTGATAGTTTCCCTTGTACTCTAAACAAATAAAAGCTTTTTACTCAAAATTCTTTCCTGTTTAATTGCTACAATTTCCCAAAATTCATGACATAGTTATTTAGTTTTACAACTTGCAGTACTACAACAATTTAAGAAGTCTATACTGCCTTGAGTTCAAATGGAAAAAAGTTTCATCCAAAAAGTTAACAAAACTGCAACATTAGAGAGGTATCCAGAACAAAACCTGGGTCTTTTATGAATTCAGATTGCTTTGCTGACGACAGATCATTTTTGACAGGTTCTAAACGATTGAGCATTACCAAAGACCTCATCCCTCTGTGAAATGTATTCTCCCACCAGCCAGACAAGCTGAATACCAGCATTTAATACTCCTAACTACATTCAATCAGTGATTAGGAATAGTTTTTGCGAGTCATTTACATAGTTCTAATACCACTAAAAAGAAAAGAATTTATTCAAATTGCATCAAAAACAAGATGAAAATATGTATGCGTGTGAATTAAGTCAATGAACATAAATAAATTAATGTCTTTATTGGTGGTGAGATTCAGGCCATTTGGCCACAGGTCTCTTTCCGCATAACTCTTACAAGAGTTAACAGACCATGCTGAGAAATACAATGTCATCTATTCTAAATAATTTTTATCTAAGTTGTTAAGCTTTTTCAGCTTCATAGCATCAATCTTCAATACATTTTGCCTTAAACCAAGAGCAGACTACTAAGAGTTATGCAAAGTAACATTGAAGTCTAGCACATTACATCCCAAACAATGGAAGACCTACTACCATGATATTACCACTTGCTGATCAATAATATATATGCCACTGTCTGAATCAACAGCCTCCCTCCTCCTCAGATAAACCATGCATATGCTCTGCATTTTCTGAACTAAACGGGAATATCCCCTAATGCAAATATAAATCAACTTCTCTACTGCTCAAATGCAGCCAAACCTAATGCCAGTAGCAGAAAATATTCATCACAGTTTTAAAAATACCTAGCATGATGCGTAATGGAAGGCAAGAAAATATGTAATTTTTTACCAAAGCACACATTATGACTACATAAATTTCTGTAATTACCCATACACAAATTTTTGGTGCATGAAACTGAAGTACTTTTGGCTTTTGTGAGCAAATCTTTACTTTGAGAGAAATACAGTGTACATGTAGCACATAAATACCAACATACCAACACAAATTTCACAAGCATATGAATTTCCAAAACTATGTAAAAATATTATTTGCTCAGTATTTTATATCATTCACAGCAGTAAAATCCCATTAGTTCAAAATCCATCAGTAGATAATTATCAAAGTTCTGACTAAACTTTTCTGTTCAACAATAAAATGGCCCATATTTTTGTGGGTGAACAATAGTTTGAAAGAAAGAAAAAAATAAAAATAAATAAATAAATATGCAAGAACATGTACATATTATGTTCAGACATTTCAATGGAATAGCCCTTGTTGTGGTTGTGGAAGAATAATTAATTGACATAGGACATTGAACTAACATTGATTTTCCAGAGACATTATTAATGATATTGCAATGTCACACAGGAACATTAAACAGAAAAGAAAAATATGCTACTACACTACTGTGCTGCAATTATTGGAGGAAATGTGGAAAGAAAACAATCTATCTTCTCCTTCACATACCTGTATTTTCAAGAAGAGTTTTAGGTGTGTTTGGTTTATTGATGATCACAATAAGCTGGTTCAGAACCAAAGGAATGTACGGTCGTGTATCAGGTCCTACATACAAAATACAACCCATTATGCACATTTTAATATTTCTACTCCAATTCTACAAAAAAAGATATTGCAGAGGACTCACCCAATTTTACTGATATTTCACCAATTGCCCATGTTGCATTGTTACAAACAGATATGAACTCTGGGTTTAAATTCTGACCCAGAATTGGTAAAAAGTCAGCTGAAAAACAAAAAGCTATGAAGACATCTTGACTCCAGAGAGTAACTAATAAAGACTAAATAAACTCTTACAAATGCATGGAAGCACATGTTGAAAGCAAGCTTTTGTCAAATCTCCCAATAATGCAAAAGAGCTCTGCCTCACTTCAGGCATAGGATCTTGCATACACTGATATAGAAGTTGCATAATGTTTGAATGTACAACCAATTTTTCAATGTGACCATTTAAGCCTTCTGCCAATCCAGAAAGAAGATCTAATGCTACTATCATAAAATCCTTATCAGGAGCTTCAAACTGTTCCGGGTTTTGAGTGTTAGCCTGAAACAAACGTAAGACAAAAACATAGACATACAATTTTCAAACTTTTCTTCAGGTATCTACACAATCTCAACATTAGATTGCAGTATTGAGTAAATTGGTACCAGTGATACCTGATGTCTGCTACCAACCAACACCAGGCAAACTATTTTGAACATTCTAATGTACTAAAAATATTTAATCAATTAAACAAATATAATGAATATAGTATTCTCTCTGAGCATCTAGCAATATGAGATTTTTTGGGGCTCTTGTTTTATTTATTGTTTTCATCATCATCCTCATCACTACTATATTTTATTATTAAAGAAATTTCCAAAAGCATTTACAACAATTTCTCATTCGAGCCGTCTTTCATGCCTCAAACTTGTGAGATGTCTGATTAACCCTCCAAGGACGAGTGTGATGCATTCGTCACAGCGAACAAGTTGTGACACATATTAGTTCCTGTCTCTGCAAGTCGATATTTCTGTGCGCGTCAGGGCATTGCAGTCGCAGAAGGGACTGGTTTGTCACTTCATAGTGCGATCTTGTCCGAGGAAAGCATTAAAATATTTTTCGATGGACCCAGATTTGAGGGAAGTTGAATTGTTGAATTCATAGTACATATTGTTAGTAATTCAATGTATGTCAATGGTTAATTTATCAAAGATAGTATTAAAAGTAATTAAAATGAATTAGTTAATTTTATTATTGTTACAGGAAGATGGAGGAATGAAAAAGTTAGTGTGACTTATATGTCACACTCGTCCTTCTCGATAGCTTTTCACACATCTCCAGTTTCCACTTTTTCATTTTGTTTCATTCCACAGACAAAAACTGAAATTTTTATATACACTTTCTTCTTCATTTATTAGGAATAACGACCATTTTGCAGAGACAATTCAGTTGCTTGAAGAAAACAGTCAAACCATTGTTGGTAATGATAATGGTGATGATAAAATAGAAGTAGAGGATATTTTTATTGCATCACCACCTGCAAACAAGCTGACTAAGTCAGTGGTGATGAGGACACAGGAGGTCTACTAGACAATATGTGTGGCAATCAATTGGTGAGTGAAGCTGAGGCAGTTTTGTCCAATGGAATTTGCATTGGAAGCCTGGTACACAATTTATTGGAGTACTCCACAAAATGGGAATGTGAGTGGATAGATGGAGATCTAGATCATTCAATAAAAAAAGATGGAATATTTCCAGAAGACTATGCTGACAAATATGAAAACATGACCCCATTGAAATTTTTGAAATCTTTATAGATGAAGAGGTGATTTCTCTCTTCCTCATGGAGTACTAGAAATATGCTTTATCAAAAAATGAAAATAATATAAATGTTACGGCAGAAGAGATAAAGGCTCTTTTGGGTAATCTGATCCTTTCTGGTTATAATGTTTTGCCAGGGGGAAAAAGTTACTGGGATACCAAGCCAGACATGAGGAATATATTAGTACCTGAATGTATGCGGAGGGACAGATTTTTATTCATTGACAAATACTTTCATGTTGCTGATAATTCTGATATGGACAATAATAACAGATTATTCAATATATATTCCGCCCACTCTTGAATCTTCTCAAGAAACGTTTTATCGATAACTTTCTTGAATGTGAATTTCTTTATTATGATGAATCCATGGTGACGTACTTTGGCTCACATCCTTACAAGCAGTTCATTCGTGGTAAACCCATAATGTTTAGGTACAAAATATGGTGCCTCAATACATTCTACGGGCACTTGATAAATTTTGAAGTCTATCCAGGGAAAAATACCCCAGTGACAAACCCTGAATACGAAAAGATTTTTGGTAAAGCTACTGGCAGATCATAAAGGAAGTTATCCTACCACATAATTACAGACAACTTATTCACCAGCTTCAATCTTTTCAACCATTTGAAATAACACGGATACTCAGGGACTGGAACTATTAGGAAAAACAGGATTCCTAAAGATTGCCTGTTACCATCGCATGAACAAATGAAGATGGAACATGAAATATTCCAAAGCACAATAGAAAAAAATGTCGGAATTCTTGTTGGGAAATGTATGGATAATAATGTGGTTGCTGTTACATCAAATGTGCTAGGAGAATCTCCAATCAAGCATGTTAAGACATATTCTTCACAAAAAAACAACATATAAATGTCCCTCAACCAGCTATTATTACCACATACAACAGAAATCTGAAAAATTTGCAAAATTACGCTAAACTATTACTATTTTTGTTTTTAAAAATTTCACCCATTTTAAAGAAATTTTTTTTTAGAACATTGCTTATAAAATTCTCTATAACCAATATTTACACTCGCAATGATCATTTTTTGTTGTTTGGCATTTTGGTAAGCCGAAAACAGGATTAACACCATATCTTTACCATTTTTTACTACATATGAAGAAAAAGTATTCAAAAATTTGGACCAGTTTTTGAAAAAAATTATTGTTTAAATTGCCCAACTATCCTATTTCCATTCTCAGTGCTGTCTCAAACTTTTCAAGAAACTCCTTGGTAACACTTTAGCAACATACTTTACCAAATTCTACAATTTATTTAAATCGGATACTCCTCACGATAGGAAAAAAATATATGATCAAACTTTCTTCCGTACAATAGTAACTGATCTCATCGATTGCCCTGAGCTTCTTTTTTATCTCTCATTACATCCCTCAGGTAACGAGAAACCCTGTTTCGTTCTGGGGACTGCCTAGAACCACCAATTACTAAGATGAAATATTGATTTTTTGCCTTTAACTTCTTTTACTCTGATCCAAAGAGTATTGCCAATCATTAATTCCATGAACTACTGTAATTTACTATCTCTTTGTGCAATTCTCTTACACTTACTGTAAAGCAGTTGTGTAAGAGTTTGAGCAGTAGGGTTTTTATTGTTCACATTGTGCCGGGTAACCTGTGTGGCAAACCGTATTTACCCGAATAAAAGACAAGGTCTTCTTATAATATCTCAGTCGAAAACGGCGTGGACATCTTATATTCACAGATTAAACCTAGTTAATTAGTGTTTAGATTTGACATTGCCGTTCCAAGTCATGAAACCTGTAAATGTTGATGTAACAAGAAACTGCAACCACGGTAAAAATACAATTTTATATAATATCTACAATACATAATTATATTCTTGGCATCCACTGCGTATTTTAGGCAATTCAGATCGATATTTTTGAATGGGCCAGTAAACAGTATCTCAAAACAAATGCCACCGCATCAAATGAAATGTAACATGAAAATGAATGCAGAAATATTGTTACATTATGCAGGCTCGAGGCCATGAGGAATTTCGGTTCAAAACCCAGCAAAAGCTAACCTGCTTAGAACAGTTAAAGAAATAGAGGCCATTCACAAGTGTGGAATGGACAGAAAATCTGACAACATGGAAAGTAGGTTCTTATGTTGCATCTCGTGACAAGACTATGAACAACACAAATTTAGTCCACAAAATTTTCAGGCTCAAAAAGTCAGATGTTGCACTTTTTGGAAGGAGAATCACAAAGAAAGAAAACTCGGTACATGCGAAGATGATGTGGGCGTTAAAAAAATTAAAAGATAGTTCAGCAATATGTCTCAACATTCTCATCAACAAGACAATTTTTTAGTCAATAAGGCAATTTATCATTTTGACAAAATAGTAAGAATTACTTAAAAATTTTAAAAAAATTCAAGAAGCCTTTTCAAAATAAAGGTGTTGTCTTATATTCAGGTAAATGTGGTATTTATATTCAAAATAACTAGTTCCATACATCTGAAAATTTGCTTTGTGTCCATGAACTAAAAACTCTGGAAACAAATATTCTTCGCCATACAGTACGTATGTTTTTTAGAAGATCTAATGGTGGAGGAAAAGAAAAACAACTGTAGTATCACTTTTCTATTACTTTTCCTTTCTTTCTACAATGGCAACACCATTGTTCGATCAGGAGGGTCATCAAATGGGTAACCTTGCAAGAGACAGTGATAACTCTATGATGCAATCTAAAATTGAGATGCATTATATAAAGTGTAGCACATTCTATCTATTATAATTATTATTGTTGCTGTTGTAAGAAATAGCCAGGCCATTAATAATAGTTATTTACGATAGGATTGATGAAAGCAACCTTTTTATTTTGCATTTGGTTGCAGCCAATTGTCCAAGTTGCCCAATCTTACGAGCAAAATAAAATCACATTAACCACATTGTCATATACTATTTTTTAGACAGCCATACTGCTTTCATTTGAATTAATTAAATTATACAAATCACTTAACAATATATTAAGGTAATTTTTAGTTGATGCGGTCAGATGAACGTATTATGTTGCCTTTGTTGCATTCACATATTTATCTAAACATTAGAGCATTACCTCACTGTCAGCGTGCTATGCATATCCTGAAAGAAACGCTTTGACTAGCGGATATTTAAAAATATTATTATTATGTAAACAGCAGTTTCCCACCAAAAAAAAAAAAAAAAAAAAAAAAAAAAAAAAAAAAAAAAAAAGAGAGAGAGGAAACAAACATGAAAATGAAAACTTCAATGATAATTAAAAACCATTTGCAATTTCTAACGATCTGGAGTTCAAGGTAAGTTAGCCATCACAGTATTATTACTTACAATGTGTTGATTTAGAGTTTGTTCTACGAGCGATACACATCTTCTATAAACAGGTTCACAGTATGGTAGAAATCCACTCTGAAGAGCTGTTGCTACACTTGATAAACACTGGAAGAAAATTTAATTTGTTACAATCAACACTTACCAAATCACAAATACAAATTTTTGTGAATATTCTTTACAAACTTACTTCTAATAAAGGAAACAAATCTTTATCCTCATCCTTCAATATATTCCATTTCTGAATAAGAGGAGGCATTAATAAATTAATGTAGTCAGGTTTATTTAAATGATGTCCAACTGAATCAGCCAGTGTGCCAATTGCATCATAAAGTATTAATAAATTTTTGTGCTGGAAAAAGAAAAAATATTTTTCAGTAATGCAAAATAAAAAAAATAAGCAATAATAGTGCAACTCACAGATCAACGAACCTGGTATTTGCTAAAAGCAAACACTAGAGTTTCAAGAATAAACCCTAAGTATGGCACAAGTTCTGTACAAGCCTCCTCTTCCAATGTAGCAAATGCTGAACATGCTGCCTCTTGCACTCGTTTATTGCCATCTAAAACTCGTTTCAGCAACTGAAATGAAACATTTAATACATGATGTTTTTTAGATTGGTTTCCAAGACAGAAATATTTTACTGTACAAGTAATTGAAACAATCTAATGCTGAATGCTGTGGTGAATCTGGGAGTGGGGTCAGGAGAGCCCCCCCCCCCCCAATAATAACATATACATTGTTATTTAACAAAAATACGATGTATCAGATAGGGTGCCAGGTCAATTATCTTCTTAAATTTTCAATATTGAAATTACATTTCTTTTGCTTTTGAATAATGGTAAGTTTTTCTCCTTTTAAAAATAAATCTCCCTCAAAAAAAAGCTGAATCTTCACATACTTCTATAAACTCTATAATTTCTTTTCTTTCTTAACTACATTCTAAAGTTTACGTTATTTTTAAGGTAATGAATCAATGAACCTACAATGGCACGTATATTTACACATGAAGTTCATAATTTTGCAATGAATACTAATAACCATTTACACTACTATTATGGAACAAAATTTAACTCTTCATACATACCTCAGTCATCAAAGGTTTTAAGTAATGGTCATGGGGTTGACTAACAACCCAATGTGAATAACGACTAAGGGTCCAACAAGTTATAGCCCGAACCAATGCTTTCTTATCCGATAAACAATTTATTAAATACGGAATTAATTCTGTTAAATGAGGAATCATTCCTGTCATACAACCTGTGAAAAAACAACTCATGAAAACACTAACCCTTTAACAATATTTCAAGATAGTAATAGATTGGGGAAACCCAACATTACCTTCTGCTATGGCACCAAGAGCTAGTATACCCGACTCCTTTATTTCCCATTCTTGATGAAATAAAGTCTCTTTTAAAATAGGAACCAACACTGGTAGAAGTTCTTCTCTAAATACATTGGCTAAAACATCTAATGCAGCAGCACTGCACTTCCCTAAAAAAATAAGTTTTATATGTTTCATACAAATGCAATGGATATATCCTTTAATTTTAATTTAGGTTGTATCACTTGCAGTGCCCCATGTAAAGGAATCAACATCAAACACAAGAACATGGAGAATGACACCAATAAATACAATGGGAGTCACCCATGAGAGCAGCAATTCCATCAATTTGACCACACGTGGTGTAAATAAAAACAAGTACACCAAGTCTGAAGTAATTAGTAAAAATAAAGTACTTCATATTATATGGATAACCTTATATTCTTACTAGGAAGGAACTTACTAAATAAATAGATTAAAAATAAAGAAACAAACAAACAACCCTGGATATAGTTGTCTCCTGCATAGGGCTCTAAGGTTAGGTTTGTTATGAACTATTTTGTCAGATTTCCTTCATATGTTGAAATAAATTACTCTAAATACCCCAAAAACCCTTGCCCTTGAATAAAACTGCATCCTAATTTTAGAGAATATAATCTTATTTCATCCCAGACACACAAATTTTTATTGCAAATAGTTCTATTGTTAATATTGCAACACAATCCTGCACCTGCAATAAAAGAAAAATAACAAGTTTGTGTTTTTGGTGAATGATTAACATTAGTTTTTTCAAGATTTATTTTGTTCTTGTGCCAATCACGAATGCAACTTTCATCCATATCATACTTCCTTCCATTGTGTCATTTCCAATTTGCCCTGTTTCTTGCACCATGTTTTCTCAAACCCTCATTTCGTTAGATGCAGGAGAGAAGGGTGTAATTTGACCACAAGAAATAAAATCTGTAGATTGTCTTTTGATGCAAAATAGTTTCTATTTCAAAGAAGCAAACATTCTGGTTACCAGATTTTGTCAATGTTTGTTGTGATCATTTATTCTTCATTCAACAAATGTTAAAAAAGGAGTGGAATAGGTATTCCGGGGCTCAAGAAAATGTGTATGTATAATTTCCACCTTGTTGCAAATCAAACTCGCACCACAATTTTCAGATAATTTTTTTTAAACATGCAGGTATTATTCGAGTATTTAAGGTAGTTTCTCCGATGAAACTGCTTGGAGTTACCTCACTTTTCATAAATGCAGTTTGTGAAAAACTCAATATTGCATTAAACATTGGAATCTTCGAAGGATGATGGCCGGAAAGGATACTGAAATACATTGGTATTATTTGCAAGTATGAGCAGGATATAAGAAAATCCAAATTCCCCCCAACCTGTGGTTTCATAACAACTTTTATAATACTTGTTACTTTTTAGGGTAAGGTTATAGGGTTTCCAAATATATTGGTATTATAGTCAGGAATGGTTTCCTTTCCAGGCATAATTCTGAAAAGCTGCATCTTGTGTAACTAATTTGAAATGTTTAATCCTTTTTGCAATCAGCATATTTTATAAGAAAGATTCGCATAATTTTATTAAAGACTAACACAACCCTTGTGATTACATTGCACAAAAAGGAAGCGCAGTAGAAAAGGTTACATCAGGAAAGTACTATAAATGCACTATCAAAGGCTGCACAGAATATTGAAAAACCTAAAAATGTTGATTGAAAATGAAGGTTTACAAATTCTGGAAGAATACAATGACTATTCCACAGTGAACACAGAGTTAAACATGTTTCCAAAAAGGTAATTAAAATAATTATTAAGATCTGTAATTGCGTATTGTTATGGACTATTGTAGGATACCCTGCTATCCACCTAGGATTTATAGCTATTAACATATGTCATGTGTGTTATTACTGCAGAGGCCAAAAGTTAAAAATCGAGGAGTAGCGTAGCCAATATTTTCATTTTGGATGAGGCAGTAATAACACTAACATTTCGTGATATGTTCAGCATTATATCAGTCACCATAAAATCTCACGATTAATACGAAAATTTGGAATTAATGAGATATGAACAAATGAATTCTGTTCCTGTGAAATGTTACTACAATATTGTGAGATGTTGCTGGCGATATACCTATTAAAACAATATCTGCATACCATGGTTCCAGAAAATATGGATGTAAATAATTCTCATGAATTTACAGATACAACATTCGGTGAGCAAGTTGGTACATCGACTTTCAGTGACGATGCCTTCAGATTGTCAAAAAACATGATTACCCGAGAAGAGTTTCATTTGATGAAACGCAAGGTAAACGAGGTTAATTTGCCGATTATACATTTTTTAATTGTACTATTATGATTACAATTGACAATAATTATCCCAAAAACTATTACGAGTTACTTGTATTCTGAATTGTTTGAAGCTAATTCGTTTTGTACACTGCTGTGTTTCTTTTCTTAATAAACATTTGACTTGTGATGAATCGATAGTTGTTTATTTACACGGCTAAGCATATTAAATTTCTTAACACGTAGGTACAAAAGCACTTAACAAACCTGCAAGATTGCATGTTAACAGGGGTTAAAGATGCACGAGACTGATAAAAAACTTAATGAATCACATATAATTATAACAATTAACAATTTTTTGTAAAGGAAAACATTTTGATAAATGCCAAACATTGCAATGCTTTTTAGCCATTCACTAATCTTCGCATTTGAAAACTCAATTACCACCCTTAAAAAATCACCGCTTAGCCAACTGTTCTCATGATGCAAGGAGTCAAATGGAACTCTCAAAACAAAATGACCAAGACCATCTACAATTATAATTTGTATTGTAGTTGGACTTGAAAAAGACATAATAAAAAAAATGAGGATCCACTATATTAATTTTAATATATTATTCTACTATATTCGAATATATTATAATGTATTTATTATAAAATCAATTAACACAGGCAAGAGAGAAAACATTTGAACTCAATACCATTCATTTAAAGGTAATATCATGAAAATTTCTATGGTTTCAAACACACCCATACTAATCGATCATTTCAAGTGAAAAACTTGCCTATGTTAAGCCCCCACTGTGCTCAAAACACTCTCGGTATATATACTGACAAAATAAAAAAAGCTCATTTTCATTCAAACCATTTTAAGTTAATGTTGGAAAAATCAGTACTTACAGTAAGAGTTTTTATAAATAGTAATACAAGCAAAAGCTTCAACAATATTTTTCTCTGAAACTGAAGTATTTACTTCAAAAGCTTCTGATATAAACATTTACTTACTTTCATTTTAAATACCAATACGCATCCAATAAATAGAGATACCAACTAACATGAAAACTATATTTTCCTCAATTATCCCTTCCTCTTGCCACACTTATTTTCAAGATTTCTTCACTAAATGTCATTACTGAAGTAAGAACTTCAGAATATAGTTTTAGTTTAGAATAAAAACATTTGAAGTTTTCACTAACTTAATAATTTCAGTTTGTATCAGGCAAACACTTACTAAGATTCCAATCAGATAATGAACTGTCATCATCAAGACCATCATCGTCCTCATTATCATCACCATTTTCCTCAGAATGTTTTATTGTATGGGTTCTTGATTTATGAAAGCGAGGTCTTATGTCCTCTTCTCGATCAGGAATCATTTCGTCTTCTTCGACATCACCCTAAAACCAAGTATGACAATAAGTCATTTCTTAAACAGCAAATTCATGAATGTGCAATATCTTATAGTATATTTGCTTATTTACACCAGTTTTCCATTTGCGAACTACTCATGGAGGTTTCTAAGTACTCTTCCAGTAAAATATCTAAATAGGCTGGTAGATTTAGTCTGCTGCTTTTTAATTGGTAATAAATGGCTTCGGAATACACCGATAAGCATGCTCCCAAGTGACGACTAAAGGGCGCGGTTCAAAATGACCAGACCAAAGCCAATCATTGAGAATCAAAAATAAACATGTTAAACTTCATGGACTCAAATTTTTTGTGTTACTTATAATAAAACATATTTTAAATTATTAACATAAACAAAGTTGGAACTGCATATGAAAGTTCAAGATTGTTGCTTTTAAAATTAAGAAAGAATCAGGCTTCTATGTTCATTGGTTTAGAAGATACAACCCTTTACTCCAAGATTTTCCAAAACTTTGCAACCTATGGTAGTAAAATTTGGGCAAAGACCAAGCCCCCAATATGATAAGCCAACCAGTATTTTCTTTACATTATGTTCGTTAGAACCACTAATTCAAAACATTTTAATACATTACCTTTAAGAGAATTATGTCTATTTCAGAGTATTTCATGCCTCGAACAAGAATAGGAACCAATCTTGTCAAATGTGAGGACAACGCTTCCTTGCAAATAGGTTGTTCTGCTAACGAGAGCCAAAATTCACATGCTTCTAGCGCCACTCCTTCATCAGGATCTTGAGTTCGCATTAGCATGTACTACAAACAGAACATTCTTTCAATCCTTCACACTTGTAACAGCACAATTCAAAATCAAATATCAACTTGTGGATTAGGACATAACATTCCTTTGCTTTCTCTTTTGTTTGAAAATTGAAACATCCGTTAAAAATTATAATTATTTCTATTATAATTCTTCTCACTGAAGTTTTAAAGTTAATTTACCTCTAATATACTGTAAGAAAAATTAAATTAAAAAACAATTATATTTCAGACTAGTTTACTTTGTTACAACTTCAAAACATTTACCTCAATAATATTATGCATATGAGGAATTAACCTATCCATTCGAACTTCCAGGAGCATAACAAGTGCTCGACAGACATTTTTTCGCACATCAGGGTCATCATCAGTCGCTAAGTGAAACAAATTCTGCGAAATGAAAATATATTAAATATTCAATATTCTTTTTTTTGCAGTCCAGAATACACATTACAAAATATACTTATTACTGACCTCTAGAAAAGAGTCTATATGTATCATTAATGCTTGAGTTCTATTGATTATAAACTGGTTTACACAAGCAATTGCATGAGACCTGTAATTTTCAAGGGTTGATGTAAGTACACAGCCAACTGAACAGTCACAATTCAAGAAGACCATTTTCTTGAATATCTTAAATATTGTAAAATTTCAACCACTATTTTAATCTCCATAATTTTCCAAATTCTAAAGGTAATGTTATCTTTTACGTATCGGGTAGTGTTTGTTTCCTTCTTTTTAAAATTTGTTACTTGATAATCTCATAAAAATTGTACAGAATAAAAAAAATTATAATTATTTCACAATATGAACAACTTTTATTAAAATAACACTGCCAACTAATATTAATTAAGAATTTTGGTCTTACCTGATTTTTGAACTTGAGTGTTTGAAGAACTGTAAGAACTTGGGTATAAGAATATTGAGTGGGCGATTAAGGGCATCACTATCCAACAATTCTGAGGAATCTTCACAAATTTTCTGAAGGGCTCCAAACGAACCCTATTAAAAAGATGGTAATTTCATTATTTTAGTTACAAATAAAATCAATACTTTAAAAACAAATCAGAAAAATTTTGATCTTCCAAAATAAACTCTGTACCTCGCAAACATTGTAGTCTTGAGAATCCAACATGCTGCAAAGGGCAGGTAATAATTCAGGCCATGTTGTGAGTTCTCCTTTTGAAGCAATTGTAGTTATGAGAATGCCCACAGTAGCACGAATGAGAGGCGATGGATCTCCAACAGCTGACAAGCATTCTTGCTTAATAAATTCTGTCACAGCTGGTAGAAACTTGTGAAAGTGGGCTTTCACGTTATTCTTTAGAATCAATCCACTCAGAGAGCGAGTGGGTTCATCTGCAACACAACCAAACGTATAGAATCACCACCAAATTGATTTCATGTAAGTGCAAACACATATCTACACTAATAAGCTACAACATACTTTTTATTTTCATTATGTACAAGTAAACGAGACAAGGAAGCTTCAATTTCCATTAAATCAGAAGAGAATTAATTAACATACAAATTACTTGTGAAAAATTAAGCATCCAGTACCTGACTAACAAATAATATTTATTTTTTGGCACAAACAGAATTAGAACACTATAATCAATTTCACCTAACTTGAAACACTATACTATTACATGTACTAAACCACTCGCATAAATACTTAAAAGCATTTACTTTTATTAAGTTTAATTTGAGATTACATAATTAATAAAATATATAATTCAGGTAATGGAATAAAATTGAGAAAGAACCATAGCATCTTCATGGCTAGATTGGTTTGATTTGATATCAACTCAAAATCTCTGGAAAAACAATACATTTTGAGTTTTACTTTCATGGTTGCAAAACCTAAAATAAACATGTAGAACTGCCATGATGAAGCCATGTATCTATTGAACCTCATCGAGTGCAAGTACAATGAAGTACAGTGTAATTCAGTGGTTGGAGCAGTTTTAACTCCGTGAAATGTTTTCATATATGATGCTGATTTAGTAAGATTTTTTTTTTTTTTTGTGCTAACTCAGAAGCTAAGCATCTGACATCCACCGAGAAACTTTTTTGTAGATGCAGTGGAGTATGGTTCTAGTGAATGGGCGAGGAGAAAATGACAGCAATAAGAACTATTCGTAAATAACAATTTACATAAAGCATCAATACAGACAACACTCCACATACATAAAGACACTCATTCACCTCAGAACAATTTGTTCCCAAATCACAAAACACCCTAGATTAACATAGGTCCCAAACTGCCCACAATACATAAACTAAAAATTTGTAAATGTATTAGGTCTTTCTTAACTTTCTGCCACTCACTTTTGCACACACAGAAAATATAAACTAACCTAAAATATCCTACTTTTTATTGTGTATTGCCTTATAAATTCAATGGTCAGAAACTTCATGTCTGAATATCTACTGCCTCAAAACAGTATGCACCATATGCTATTCGAAATATAAGAAAATGAAGGGCCTGAAAAGCTTAACCTAATTAGAATATGGTTATATAATCTAGATGACCATGTAGTTACGTCAATTTTTACCAAGTGCATTAAGACCCTTATTTCCTTATATTATTCACATATACAAGAACGCAAAGTTTGGTATTGTTTATGCATGTTGTTGGCATCTGTATGTACATACTTATATAAATAAATTAAATTAAAAATAGCTGTGGAGATGTAGGTGGGTAGCTTCCCTTCTCAACAATCCCAACTCCTTCATTCCTGAATGTCCCCTTCTCGAAAACAAAACATTCTAGAAATTTGGATGATTGATATTGATGCATAATGAAAGTGATAGGGAGATCTAGAAAATTGTTTCAGAAAACCTATTGCATGCATATTATAACACATGCTATTCTTAAATATTACACAAAAGCATATCAATTTTATGGATATGCTTTAAATAGAATCATCATCATCATCAGTAACTTACCACAGCTTTGCAACCATCTTCAGCCTAAAAGATTGAGATTTTATTTGCAATATTTTACTGAAAATCTTCCTGCACTGCTGATGGCAGAAGCCCTTAAACAATAGCTTTTAGCATAATAACTAGTTCATCGTGTTCTACCGAGTTCTTCAGAGCCAGCCCAACATTACCACAAAAACAAATAGAAATATCCCTATATTGTACTTCATATAAAAGGGGCAAAATTTACAATAGGTCAGACTGTTCAATATTATGAATGATTGTTTTTTAATACCTTAAAATGAATAGTCTACTTCAAGAATTCCCTTTCCAATAACCAAAAATATAAATAGGTCCAATTTGTTCCAATCAATGACACTTATCCATGTTGCATCTACTACACATCCACAATAGGCATTTTAAACACCCTATGCCAATCACATGTACTGGGTTAATAGTATTTTCTAACAATCCTCTTTAAATGATAAAATTTTCTCAAAGAAATACTTTTATGAAGCATACAATGTCTATAGCCTATTCAAAAACTATCATACCAAACTAAAGGCAAAGGACCTTGACTCTTAAGTATCGTAATAAATAATCAACTTAGTTCCTAATTGTCGATAAGCCATAAGGTTTTCGAATTTAATAAATATTATACCAACAATTTTGGGTGAAAAATTTTCCTGAAACAAATTCTGAGTTTCATTTTTCTTTTCCTCCGATAATAATTGATTTATAATTCACACTATTTAAAGAAATAATTAAATATTTGTCAGCAGTCCAAATTCACCAACATAAAAATTATAATACCTTCATAACAAATAAAACTTCATAGAAAAATGTTATTTAACCCTCAAGTGCCCGCAAAGTATCTCTCAGATATAGCTGCAATTTTTTCCGATTGCGAATGATCTGAAGATCCACTTTTACTAAAATACTTATTTTATTTAGTTTGTACACGTCACCAATGCCACTATTAATGAATCATACACTAAAATTCTTCTCTGAATACTACTGATGAGAAAGGTAAAAATTGACAAAATACACACAAAAATCGTTAAACATCCTATAATCCTATAAAATAATATTAAATTTAATTTCCAAAAATTATTTTGTCATGTTCTAAACAAATATAATTTTATTTTTTTACTAAAATATTTTAAAAGTCAGTATTTTTTCCATTTTGCAAGGTTTGCATTTTTTCTTTTCCCACTCACATGTCTCCTACACATCTTTTTTCTCTTCGGTAAGAAATTGTGTCAGTTCATTGTAGATAAGGCAAATGATTACATTTTCTTCATAGACACTTGCCATAGACACAGCTGAAAATAATGCCATGGTTCGTACCGCTCACGCCAGGAGCTCACAATGCACTGGCGCCATTGAACCCAATGTATGACATATCGCGCAAGGCAGATCAAGTTTGACCATGCACACCGAAAATGATTCAGCGAGAGGATAAAAATAAAAGGCTAGGCGATCTCAGAAAAGTACAATGAAGGAATACATGAAATATCACGTAACTAATGCATAGCAATAATTTAAAAACAAAAAATTTCCGTGGCTTGGATCCCTCAGATTTATTGCGAGCTCTCCTGGATTAAGAAGTATCTAGTTTCATAATTGTCTCTAGAATCTCTCTTCTAAAAATTCCCTATTTTTCCCTAACTTAGGCAGAACAACCTTCCAAACTTCAACTTAGGCAGAACAACATTCCAAACTTCAACTTAGGCAGAACAACATTCCAAACTTCAACTTAGGCAGAACAACATTCCAAACTTCAACTTAGGCAGAACAACATTCCAAACTTCAGTTTTTTCAGTTTTCCAGAAAGTGGCCACCCTAAAAGTTTGTTCTTATACCTCAATATACTTTAAGGTCGCACGAAAAAGCAAACACTATCACTTTAGTAACAGTACAAAAAGCATGCTACACCAGCACACCACTAAAGCATAAAGTAATCCAACAATTAAATCAACTCACCTTCAGAAGTTAATTTTGTAAGAACAAATATCAGGTAGTTATTGAAGTCGGGAAATTTATTTAATTCTTCAAGTTTCTGAAATTTTAGCATCAAGGAAAAAAATATCGGATGGTTTTTAATGCACATCAAAAATATTTTGTTAACATCCTATTTTACAACCCTACACTTGTAACATCTACCTACTTTTCGACCAGTGTAAAAAAAATAGCATTAAATAATTTAAGATTGTGTCATACTGTACTTCATTAAACTACGTCTCTAAATTTTCAGTATAGCAAATAAATTGTCCTTTAATATCTCACAGCGCAGAAAGTCACTTCGGTGATTAATTCTTTAACTGTAACCGTTTATTCAATGAAGTGCCCGTAGAATCTATTGATTACGTGTGCTTTGTGCTCTCATTAACCTTTACTTTGTGCTCTCATTAACCAAAGTAAATAAATATTTCCATAAATAGGCCTAGATAACACTAATGTAGACTATTGACACCTTGACAGAGTTTATGGACAATTGGGAATAGCCCCACTTTCCTCTCAATTCATTAACAGAAATCATAATTTAGAAATTTTTGAATTTCTCTAAAAAAAAACGTTACTGGAGATAAGGGGTTTACGATGCCGAACGAATCACATACTACACTTATGTCCTGAAAAATGTATTAAAACAATAATACAGATAAACATTGTCTGGATTTTATTGAGTTTCTGCTCGAAATTGCCCTTCACATATATTACAAGAATTTTCAAGATAAGAACGAGTTCAAATCGAACGTTCAAGTATTTATGAATCCACTTAAGAGAAGCTCATACGTAGCCCAAGAAACTAACATGGATAACAATATATTAAAAAGGATACTTGTTGCACTGCCCTTTGAGTTGCAGTGTCGGGCGATTGCGACTCTTTCAAAAGTTGCAAAATTTGCCTTAATCCTTCCTCTTGAGGTTGCCACGCCATTTTCATTATTGCCTGTCGTCTCACACCTGAAAACGGGAAGTCATAGATTGAGAAGAAACATGATGCGTATCAAAGGTGATCCTCAAACAGCAAACCTGCAGGCCTCACACATTCGTGTACACAAGGCTACAATTTAAATTACCTGTTTTAATTTTAAGCCATTGCTTATGCGCCTCGCATTGCAACAAACGTAAATTCTGTTAAAATATGATGAATTTGACTCTGGTTACTGTGACCTCGCACTATTGCCAAATCTGCGACATTCTAGACATTGATCCGTTTCTGAAAAACAGTCAAAAAATAAAAGTTTCATTAAACTAACTATTTGTAAACATTTTATATTCAAGCAAATTGAAAACAGGTATAATGAAGTATAAATTCGTCGTTTATCCTTAAATTCTTGTATATTTCCCATTCGCACATTTGACAACTCAGCTACTGTAAACCTTAAGAATGAGATATTCTTATTGGTGGAAGTAAAATAAAATATTGTCGAAATATTGGCATTGATATGATTCACAACGGAACGTCAATACGTAAATAATTGAATAATATTATTTGAAAATTATCCTGTCATCAAGGTCAATTTTCATAATTATTCATCATCATCATTATTATTACTTTTATTATTATTATAGCACTGTGGAATTTGCATACATATATTTTAAGTTTTTATTGTAGACCCTAGCGTAAAAATAGGAAAAAATCAGACAAAAATACTCAAAGGTTTAGTCAGCTTCATTTGCAAATCTCAGAATTTTCTGTTTTTATGTGAGCAATATATGCTACCACAATGTAGATTTCTGCTTCTTACTTTTCATATATATATATATATATATATATATATATATATATATATCCGAAAATGCAGTGGCAGTCAACGTGTTAATACTGTGCACTGTGGAATTAGCAAATACTTTTTTTCTTCTAATTTTATCTAGGCTGATTGAATTTCGCTACGTAGTAGAATAAATTTTTGGAGGACAACATCAAAGGAAGAGGTGCAGAAAATTTTCGGATTACTTATGTGGATGGGGTTGAACAAACGTTGTAGCATTCAGTCTTATTGGTCAACAAAACAAATTTACCAGAACACTGTCACAACAGAATGTATGTCTCGTAACAGATTCGAGCTCCTTTTACGGATGATTCATCTTTCAGACAATGACAAAAGTCTACCAGGTGACAGACTTAACCAAAATAAAACTCCTCACCGATATGTTACATGAAAGGTTTCAAGAAATGTTTTATCCTGGAGAAAATTTTGTGATAGATGAAACGCTTGTACCTTGGAGAGGCAGATTGGTGCTCCGGCAGTATATTTCCAATAAAGCTCACAAGTACGGAATAAAACTGTTCAAACTCTGTTCTTCTGAAAGATACACTTGGCTTACCAAAACTTATTCAGGAAAATCGCAATCTTATGACACGACGTGGGACATGCTCAAAGTGTTTGTTAGGAATTATCACATGAACTTCTAAATCAAGGGCGCACATTGTATGTAGACATTTTTTATAGAAGCTATGAGTTGTCTCTGTCGTTTCTCCAAGAAAATACTCATGTTGTTGGTACAGTTCAACCAAATAAGAACTTTCCAAAGAATGTAATGCTCACAAAATTAGATAAGGGAAACGTTTTATCTATGGAAGATAAAATGGCATTGTTGGGCATTGTTGTGCATTGTGTGATGAAGAGACACCCGTGATGTGATGATACTAACCACCAAGTATGCCCCAACAATGACATATTCTTTTCAACCACCGACGGGTAAGAGATCTAGAAAAAATAGACCAAATCCTCATGCTATTCTCACTTACATTAAAGGGAAAGCTGGTATTGATTTATCTGATCAATTGGGCTCGTATGCAACAAGTTTGAGAAAGGGCGTGAAATGGTATAGAAAATTGGCAACGGAATATATTCTCGGCATATCTGTAATCGGCATAAATGCTCTTATCTTGTACAAAGGAAAGCGAGGTTCAGAGAAGAAATAACAAAGAGCTTGCTCGATTTTCAGGATGTGCCGAAACACAAAAAGCCTCCTTGTCATAACGTGCATGTCTTGACAACAAAAGTGGTTCAGAACAATAAGAAAGTGAGACGAATGTGCATATTGTGCTATGCTCATTTGAAGGAAATCGAAGGAAGAGCAATTGCCAGGAAAAAGTGAAACAAGTGAGCACCTACTGCCCTGATTGCGAAAATCAACCTTACATGCGTTTGGAATACTTTAAAAACACCATAAAAAGTAGAAAAGTTGGACTTGTATTTTCTGTATTCTATGTTTTTAATAAAAACAGTATCTCTGAATTTGCTGATTATCTTGTGCACGAGACCGGCCAAGGTCATGTTTACCAAAGATGGATAAGAGGCCAACCTACCTCTTTGCTACACAAAATCGCATTTAACTTCAGTTTCCGGTGACATGGCTACAACCGAATTGAGGAACTTCAGTCGTATGTGTTTGACATGGCCTACAAGAGGTGTCCAGTGTCAGTCACATACGACTGACGCGGTAGTCAACGTTAAATCAAGTATTCCCAACCTGTTTTCTGAAATTAATGGTTTGCTTCATCGACCCCCTTAAGTTTTTCCTTATAATATACAGCAAACTACGTATTCTTGGCACATATAATCATTCATAAACATCAAATTCTTTAAGATACTTTACGCAAAGAAATGAACAAAAGTTTTGAAAACTAGTGGTGTTACAGAATAGCACAGACTTTCCCGTATTAGTTTTGAATTTCCTTTGGTCTCAGCTAGCTATTCAAACTAGTCACATACTATTGCCTGTTGCCATTTAAATTCATAAATAATAATATCATGTATATTCATAAATAATACCCTATGTACATATTTTTGAAATTTTCTTAATTTGTTGGTTTCCTAATAGAACGGAAATATTTAAAAAAAAATAAAGAACAATAAAACCTAAATCGCAAATTTCTTTGAAAAAATTGAAAATGTTTTTATTAAAGTGGCGCTTAAGCTCTACAGAAAATTCGGGATTTGAAACATTTTAACACGTAAAATGTTTGAGTTTTCGAAAAACTTAATTTGAAATCTAATGAAGCACAGTAACTCACAAGTACAATAGTGTTTACAATTTGCTGGAAATGTGCATATTAATGGTGAGAAAGATCTTAAAAAAAATTACATTAGTGTAATTTTTAAAAAAAGAAAAAGAATCCCGATATGAACTTTACGTTGTATTAAATAGTGCAAATAGCACTATCCTTTCGGAAAGTTTGAAGAACTCATGCTGCGACAGAATAGCACAGACTTTCCCGTATTAGTTTTATATTTCCTTTGGTCTCGGATAGCTATTCGAACTTGCTCTCGTATGTTCTTACCAGTTGCCATCAATCGCCGCCCATAGTACATTTTTTTTCAAATATTTGAAAGTTTTCGGTTTCTTAATTTTAGAACGGAAATATTATTTTAGAAATATTAAAGACCAGTAAAACCTCGACCAAATGGCAATTTTCTTTGAAAAAATTGGAGTAGTTTTTAAGAAAATAACGCTTAAGCGCTACAATCAATTCGAAATTTGAAGCACTTTAACACATAACATTGTTGAGTTTTCGAGCACTTTCGATTTGAAGCACTTTAACTCACAAATACAATAATGTTTACAATTTGCTGGAAATGTAGATATTACCGGCGTGAGAGATCTTTCAAAAAATTGTGTTTGTGTAATTTTTTGAAAAACCAAAAAATACCCTTGAAATGAACTTTATCTCATATTAAAGAGTACAGTTAGCACTATCCTTTCGAAAAGTTTGAAAAAAATCTGGAGCCGTTTTAGAGAAAATGGCGTTTGAGTGCTTCTGAAATTGCGAAATTTTGAGCTAGTTTTGACAGAAAACTGTGGAGTTTTCGAGAAGTGTTATATGACATTATTCAAATCGCATGTAGATATAAATATAATAATGTGAACAAATTGCCAGCAGCGTAAATATTAACGACGTGAGAAAGTAAACAAAATTGTAATTTTCGAAGAAAACAAAAGAATAGAGCAAAGTGGCGTTTGTGTCATCTTATAGAGTGAGTTTAGCACAATCCCTACTACAAGTTTAAAGAAAAAATTGGACCTGTTTTTGAGAAAATTTAATTTCAAAAGATTACAAAATGTGTACCTTATTATTGGATGAAAAATAAGCCCTTCTCATCTGTGCTATCAAAGTGCACGATTTTATCAAAGGCAACAAGGGTATCTCTCCCCTTAACAAATGACTCTACCAACAAACACCACACTTCTTTAAAACAAGAACTCACTAAATCTAGAGCTCTTTTCACTCATCAATAAAGATTTCTTCCCCCAATCCACTCCCCCCCACGATTTTACGTTTACCAAAAATCTACCATCTCTATTAGATCTGTAGTATCATACACTACCCCATTCACACACAAAATTGCATATAAACTGAACAAAGATTTCAAACAACACGTCAATTACATTTGTCATCACACAATTCCCAGTAGGCTTAATCACATCCATAAGATAAAGGATATCCTGTTCGCACGAACGCTAAACTTGTTTCTTTTGATGTGGTAATCTTATTTCCCAGTGTGCCAACATCTGACTGCAAGACTATACTCAAAAACCTAATTGACAGAGTGCCGCCTCCATCAAAACTGAACTGTTTAACCTTATTTCCTGTTGCATAGATGTCAACTATTTCAAATTGAGTTACTAATTTTACGCCCAAAATTCAACGTACGGATTACGTTTTGCTTTTGGAAAATTATTTTTTTTATTTGTCTCTCACGTCGTTAATATTTACATTAGAGAAAATTTGTTCACCTTATTGCGTTCATAAAGTTTCTCGAAAACAACAGTTTTCTCTTAAAATGAGCTCAAAATTCCGCATTTTCAGAAATGCCATTTTCTGGAAAATCGCTCCAAATTTCTTCTTCAACCTTTTCATTGGGTAGTGCTAATTGCACTATTAAAAATGACATAAAGTTCATTTTGCAATATTCTTTCGTTTTTTTTTTTCAAAAATCACACGAAGTAATTTTTTAAAATATCTCTCACGCTGTTAATATGCACATTTCCAGCGATTTACAAACACCATTGCATTTGCAAGTTAAAAACTAACTCTTGACTTTAAATGAAGTTTTTCGAAAACTTAAAAATTTTCTGTGAAAAAGTGCTTCAAATTTCGCATTTACTAGTAACGCTTAAATGCCATTTGAGAAAACGGCTCCAAATCTTTCAACAAAAATTGCCATTTATGACGGGTTTTTACTCTTCTTTAATATTCTTAAAGTAATATTTCGGTTCTTCTATTAGAAAATGTCAAAAAAATGTACTTTGGGCGGCTATAGGTGGCAGCT